TTACTTGGTCATACATCGGCAATCAATTTCAATTAGTTTTTCTAAACGCGAAGCTAGTATAATCAGATTCACATTTATTAACAAGAAAAAAACTATAATATTGCAACAAGTGTCGTACACAAATATTTAAAACTGAAATATTTTCGTAACAGATTTTTGTCTCTCCGAGCTAAGAATACCTCGACTTCCATTAATTATGATTAGTATTTAACTCGAACTGGTCGAAATCGATTCATATCTAGTTAGATTCTCGGGTGTCATATCAGAGATCGAAACGAGGTAAGAAAAATTTTCATGTTATTGGGCAAGACATATTTAAAACCTTTGGCATTTGTTCCCAACCACAGTATAAACATATTACATATACGTGTGAAGATGACATGGCTTAACTCTCTATTACTCATTATATTTTTGTATTATGTGAAAGAGAGAGGTACACAATGAGTCAATAATGACATGAAAATAAAAAGAATAAGATGAGAACAGTGAAATTATAATATGTTTTCCCCTACCTAGAAAAATCAACAAAACAGAAGCGGGTGACACTATCAACTAATATCTATCTCTTTTGAGAATAAATGGACAGTCATTGATTGACACTACAAAGACGCACACGCACACACGGTGTACATGCAATTATCTGACTAGTGTACCCTAAGTTTAAAAACTTACCATAGCGACTCTGTTGATATGACCGTGGTTCTTCTAAAACGGAATATCGTGAATATTTATTAATAGCGGAAGTTCTTTTTTGTCGAAACATAATTTCCAAATAATTAAATATCATTTCGTTCAATCATAATCAGCATCTATCTATCTATCTATTATCAAAATTAATATTCTATATGAAAGATAAATTATATTATCAAGTAGTGGAAAAAAGAAGAAAAAGGTATGAATAGCAAAAAAAGAAAGTGATTGAGTAGTTATATGTCAAATTTACTAATTTTTTTCCTCTACACATACATATATACAAGCAGGCACATAGAGAAGATAGAGAGAACAGAAGAGAGAAGATAAATAACTGACATAACCGAACAAGACAGGTAGAATTTAGCGGTTCGTTGCTTGCCAAACATATGAGAACCTATTCATTCGAGATCATTTTTCATTTTATCGAGAGAGTTCAACAAGCATACACACACACATAGAGTTATATTCACGATTTTAGTTTTATTCGTGTGTATATATACGGTATAACCTCACTAAATTTCTGCAATATTTTTTCTAATTAAACAAACACTTCATGAGCGAATTAATTAAGCAGAATGAAAGAACAGGTAAATATATTAAGAAATAAATTATACTTATACAAGATGTAATTGCTCACATGCTGTGAGCCTTTAAATTTAATACTTCAAGGTAATATTGTAAAATTTACTTGGCATATATTTTTTGAGGTAATACTAGAGAATGTTGACTTTTATGATGTTGTAGCTAATACGCTCTTATCTTTTTAAGATAGTCTATGATAAGTAAAACGTGACATGTTCTAGCAATGAAAAATAATCCTATGATTTTTGTTATTTTCCGCGATCATAGACACTGATACAAGTGACATTTAAGTAACAGTTGAACAAGATATCCATAATATTGTTGCTTTTTGTAAATAGTCAATTTGCAAATAAGAGTCATTTATAACATTCACGCAACAAATCAGCACTATTAAGATGACAATCAAATACGGACATCTAGGAGATGGTTTAAATTTCTCCATTCATGAGGCCATGAAATAGAGAAAAAAATGTGAACTATTTTTAGTAAAATATTTGTAGCTACAATTATAAAATATCTATAATTGCAAACGGAATAATTGCAATTCGGAAAAAACTTTTCCCAAATCAATCAGTTAAATTTAGTGGCAAATAAGCCGATTCTTATTTTGAGTCAAACTGTGGCATTAACAATACAGTCATAAAATATAATTATCTTACCGCATTGAACATATCAAAACGTGTGCATAGTTATACAAATGATATGAACAACGAATAACTGGCGACGTGTGGATGTGTAAGAATGCTAAATTGTAGCAATGAAATACATGGAAAAATGAGTCAACCACCCAAGTTGTCGAAATCTGACATAACATGATAGATATCAATGATTTTTCTTTTGTTTTTTTCTCTCGATAGTGGAATACTTGCCAAAAGAAGGAAGAGAAAAACAAACGATGTTCTATTCTCATGCAACATGATATTCTATTTATATGGTTTGACCTATGATCACTGTTTTTCCATTATAGATGTTCCTACTATATTACATACATGCTCATTGTTGTTTAATTATTTCAACAAGAAATCAATCTCATTCTCATACACACGTTTATTATTTTCTACTGTTTTTTTTCTTTTCCTTTCTTCTTGTACATAGAAGTAGATTTAAAGAACATACATATATACCTTAAATCCTCAATTATCCGATGACTATTTAATCTATGGTGATAAAATGTATTAATTAACAATAGAAAGATTATAACGAACTAAGACAATAATGGAATTACCATTCAAATAGAGCTAAAGCACATACACGTACACTAGTATCGTGTCTAAAACTGAAAAGAAATCGGTACTGAAGACGCCAAATTCAAACCACAGATGAAGTTCTTTCTAAAAAAAGAAGTCAAATTAAGAATGGCGCAATAAATGGTTTTCCACTGAACTAATACAGCAAAAAGTAAACACATCCTAGTTGTCAAACAGTGAACAATCATGTTTACTCAAAGAAGTCAGCATACTTGATAAATTTTTCGAGCCATACAAGTATATAAGATCCTGTTGCTATCACTCTAGAAATATACAGATGGCGTCAGATATCCAACACTGCTTATATAAACTGTTTTGTATAATATTTGAAGAAAATAACAGTTTTTAGCTAAACGAACAAAACAATAAAAATCAGTAAAGTTACTATCAAATCTCATCACCTTGGAAAAAAATTTAATTGTTACTTTTGTGTTCAGAATGTCATATTTTGAATCCGTTGCAACATGTATATTTTTAAGAGTTTTTGTAGCGTTTATCGGATTAATGAACATAAGAACAACCTTTTGATCATTTTGATTGCCGTTTATTTCGCTTGAAATTCGTAGTTATTCCGTATTAGTTAACGGCATCATCGTTTTACATTACAACTTTGACTGGATGTTGCTCGAACGCTAGAACTACATCTACCTCTCTTGATAGTTAAAAAAACTCAAATTCTACAACCTTTTCGCTTGACTATTCTTGCAACACTGTATTTTTACATTGATCACGTATGGGACCTCTATTTTGTATCGATATTTGTTTTTCTTACATCGCAACATGTTGCTAGCTTTACTTTTGAAAATTAATGCTCATGGGCATACACATACTCTGAATTATGACATGTATGTTTCAAAATATACTTTTGGACTATTGTTTTTTTTATTTTTTTTTATACCGCTTAGAACACAAGCAATTTTTAGACTGCACAACGGTACAGAAATACTTTTACGGCATGGCTATTTCTCGTTCTCTCATACAAAATGCCTCGAAAATTCTAAACAAAGAGAAAAGGACTTAGGTTTCTAGTCTAAACTATGTGAAAGATTATTTTTCGTATTACGTTTCGTGGATGAGAACGTTCGCATTTGACTGAAGCCATATTGTACTCTCATAAACGGCGCATTTTTGTTCACTCAGCTTCACGTCTCCAATGCACTTATCCTTTTTTAGTGCCAATAATTTTCAGAAGAGAATTTCTCTTCAATCTGACCTCTACGGAAGGCTCAATTCCCTCACTTTTTTTACTCAAATTAAAAAAGATTCAAGAAAATGATGTGATACAGATCTGTTTGCTATAATACCTAATTAGCCCACTTCACCTTCACCCTCATAATCTCTCCCATACGCTGTCATCTACAAATTGCTTTCTGCGAAAGACTTTCGCCGTCAATAAACATATTTTCAAACCCCTCAAAATATTACGATATTATCCAGAAGTCGCTCATTAATAACTAAAGATCATCGGACTTGCTGTGTGGTAACACAAAAACGATTGCAGCTTCATGGCTCATGACACGATGAGTCATATATTCAAAATTCGTTTTTTTTGACTCCGAATCATTATAAACCGTTAGGATAAAAATAATTAAAGGAATATCATACCCCTCGAATCAGTGATTTACACTTCTAGTTTAAACAATATGTATTAAGTCACCGTAATGTACTCACCACAGTTTCACGTCTCAAAAATAAGAAAGATTCTTGCCTCATTTTTCTTATTTCTCACGACCAAAACTACTGCAACAAAAACACAAAAACTTGGATTTCCTCAATGGAGTTGTGCTTTTAATCAAAAATGACGTATTCGTTTTTAGTTTTTCACATACAGTCTTACGCATTATTATAGAAACGATTTGTTTTTATCGCTTTTTCACTCGATCGTAATTACTAGAACAAATCCGACAAGTGATTTGAATATCGAAAAGAGTTTTACCATCAGGAGCGATGTGTATGCAAATGTCATTAAAACTTGCTGATTAGGAATCTCTAGAAAAGCAGAATCAACTCTCAACTGATTTTTGTATACAACTGAATCGTATAGAACAAACTATTCAGGACAAAATGAAATGTCTCCTACAACATTCTTACTTTATAGTGCATACGGAAGATCCCAACCCATCAAAATCAGCACGAAAACAACAAAGAGTGCCTCTGAGCTCTTTCATAAAATGAATACAGTATAACGTAAGAATGCTATCGGAGACGTTTCATTCTGTCCAGAATAGTTTGTTCTATACGATTCAGTTGTATACAAAAATCAGTTGAGAGTTGATTCTGCTTTTCTAGAGATTCCTAATCAGCAAGTTTTAATGACATTTGCATACACATCGCTCCTGATGGCAAAACTCTTTTCGATATTCAAATCACTTGTCGGATTTGTTCTAGTAATTACGATCGAGTGAAAAAGCGATAAAAACAAATCGTTTCTATAATTTTGTGTACAATTGTACGTGGGATTTTGTATAGACAAAAACGTTAATTAATTCCATTCAGAAGAAAAACAGTTTTTGCTTCTCGTCAGAAAGGGCATCTCGTTAATAGAAATATCTTTTTGATGAAGATAAATACATACCAGATCTAGCTCGTTCTAAAATATTAAATCTTTCTCCATTATCAATTAGCACATCATCAGGACAATCATCAATTAACGTACTATCGCTCACTTTTCGCCACAATTGAATTATACCTAAAATAGAAAAAAAAACGATCATAAGGATTATACGAGTATTTAACACAAAATAATGTGAAATACTTACGTTCATAAGCTAATGCGTATCGTTTAAATAGCGGTAAAAGGGCATCATTTGTTGTTATCTGCTTTTCTTGTGTTTTAATATGGGAATAGGCCAACAGAATTTCTTTATCAACATTAACTTTTTCGTTCAAACTATCGATAATATTAAATAATTTTGTTTTTGATAAAAACGGTTCGACAACGTTTAGGAGAGATTTATGAGTCAATAAACGAGTTTGTACATCGTTTAATGAATGAAAACTCGAACGAGTGGAATAAGTTAAATGTTGTTGATGAGAAATACTCTTTTTAAAAATGAGTGTTGAATGAGCGGATGTAGTCGGCGTAGAAGGTGAAGAAGAGATTGTTTGTAATTTTTCTATATCAGAATAATAGCCAGTCATTGATAATATTGATGTTGGTTGTAACTTTCTATATTCATTTAATTTTTGCAGTGCATTTTGACAACATGTTATCGTTGTTTCGATTTCTGATCGTAATGTCTCTTGAAGCTGGTTTAATTTTGATGAATTTAGTGATGTTAATGACATTGCCGATTGTTTGTGTTTTGGTAATATTGATGTGGGAGATGATTGAATACTATGATGTTCAAAATAGAATAGACAACTATCGATTGTCTGTTTTTGTCTTAATAGTCGTTTAAATAATATTGGCTGAACGTAAGATATAATTCGTAAAATACTCTCTAACTTTGTCATCATTTTATCAACGTCTAGTCCTTTTTGAGATGGTAGTTGATCATTGGTATTAATTGACGAAGCAAATATGTTCAATATTTTTGATAGAAAACGATCTGGTTTCAATGTACGTATAGGAAATTGATCGGGATCATAGAGAAAGATTTTTGAATAAATCACTTCGAATATTTCCAAGGAAAATGGTAATTGTGTAAGAAGAATATCAATTGATAATGTTGCAAGAATTTTACGAAATGTTAACGGACTCAAACGATTTATGTAGATAACGCATTCATCATAGTTATGTGTACGAAGGTATTGAAGAATTTTTGCTTGAGCAATATCAACCGGTGCATTGCGAATACTCATGTCCGCCGGATCATCGAACTACAAATAAACAAAACAATATTATTAGAGGAAGTCAGATGTACTGTTTCACAGAGTCGGGAATCGATATAACTCTAATTAATAACCTACGTTTATAAGTATGGCAAAGCGAACGATTAGTATTCTCTGTTCATTCAGTAGATTAATATATACTTTCACCGTACATATCTCACATTTAATTTTAGGTTGAGCAATTTATTACAGCATTTGTTTTTCTATTACAGTAGTTTTATCGTTTCTGATATTTTTTGATTGGAAAAAGAACTATTGTTTGTTCGAATAGTTCAATCATATACGTTTTTACAGAAAGATATTTTTATTATTGCTATTAGAAAATAAGATTTTCTCAACACTTCTGTGTGAAGAATAACTCATTTTGTTAAACAAATGTTCTTCCACTTAATCAAATAATGGCATCACAAACATGTCTGAAGAAAATAAATATTCTAAAGAAGCCTATAGAAAAGTATTTTGCTACACAGTTTACTCTTAATATCCTTATTACTTTGTCACAACTAAGCTAAAATTTTTGTTTTCAAAATAAAAAACAGCAATTGCGAGTCATCTGTCTTGTCTTATACAAACAAACATAAGAAAACTGCTCCTACACGTTAAAACTGTTATGTATGATCTTGTACACAGTCATACAAAGCTGTTCTATCATCGTGGCTCTAATCCGATCGGAAACACATCTCACCATGACTCTTCCACCAGCGAATGTATAAAATGACCTCTTTCTATTTAAGATGCCATATGAATATCAAAATGTTGTAGAATATTTCTCAATGACATCTTTTTTGTTAAGAAGACGACAAACGAAAAAAAGATGTCATGCACATGTGGAACCTTTCATACATATCGGCAAAGATACCATATGTCACCGTTTTATCACTTTCATCATATGACATCTTTTTCCTTGCTTCAGTGACTTATGGTGTCTTTTCCATGTACAAACTTCAACTCCTGTCTTTACCTATTTCATCAAGAAAAGGAGTTTCACAAAATTAACTTTTTACACACATGGCATAAATGCTTCAAAAATCATCATCCCACTGCTGCTGTTTCTTCTTTGTTCTTTTTTTTGTTGTGTTTCTATTATCCATCACCTTCACTGACTTAGATATACGTGTGTGTCTTTATATTCTTCTTTTTTTTTATCGAAAACTTTTTTTCTCGTTATGTACATAACCAGTACCGAAATTCTCTTTTTTTCTTTTAGGCACTATTTTCCGATACATGCTTGTGCTTATTTTTTCCAGCTACAAGACAGAAAATTGTTAGGGGTATATGTACAACAAATATCCTATCGTTAACAAAAGATATATAACCTTTAAAATCGATGATTCTGAGGACAATAGAAAACAAAAACTCTGATAAAACCCTTGTTAGTATATATATAAAGAAAAATTTCGCCTTTTCTCCTTGTACAAAGGAGATATAGAAATCTGCTTAACAAAGAAGGTTTTAAGTATCACAGACAGACTTATTAGATTAAATAATAAGTGCTTGAAAAAACAAATACACATCGAAGAGGTACTTGTAGAATTAGACATAAACTATAACCTTGGATATACATACTGTTCGATGCATTCTGCTATGTGTATCAAAATAGATTCAAGACACAAGAGAATGTATCAGATTATATTGAACAGGTTTATTTCTCATCAACACAATGGCTAGTCTAAAACAAATATTTATGTTTGTTCTACTCTTTAGCTGATCTCACAAATAAACTTTAAATGGAGATATTCATTATCAGTTTTATTGTTTGTATGGAAATAGGAATAAAAGTCAATGTCAAAAAAGACAATTTTTCAAATAACTTCTATTTTTCTTTTTAAAAGTTTTTCTAAAAGAACAAACTATTTTAATAATCATATTACATTTCTGATGAATATATCCGTCACCTACTAACGGTAGACAAAGTCATGAAAACCCATAGTTGACACAATTTTACAGTGTCAACGATTTGCTTCAAAATTCAACTGTCCTTAATTTGTTTACTCATATAAATAAATCGAGTATTTTCTGACTCTCATATAGATTAAGTTATCGAAGTGAATGAATACTTGTTGAAAGAGATGCAAACAGTTTCCACTCAAAATGTTCTTCTAAGTAACAGATGTGTGAAATGTTTACTATACTAATAAAAATGAATTCGTATATACAAGTTTTTAGTAGAGAACCATAGTATTTTCAAAGATTCTTTGATTTTTATTTGTTCATGTTGCTTCACGTAAGATATCCTGTGTCTACTGGCAGCCACTGCTCTTTATATACACAAATATATTTATATCTATAAATACATATTATTACCATATTTATAAAAATCATTTATGACGATCATCGAGAGTAAAAAAGAAAGACATAATCAGAGAGGCAAACAGAGAATGCGTCTATTGTCATAATATGACCTTGATCGTTTGTTAGAGAAAAGTCTTTTATGAAAATTACTTTCGGTTAATGTGAATATTGAGTTGTTATAAGTTAATTTGAAAGAGAAGAATAAATGAGTCAAACTAGGCATGCATCGGTATTTACTGGTATATTTTCCTCTTTTTCTGAATTGGATTAACTAAAAAGTACAAACTATCAAAGTTTCTTGACGACTTCGTTTTGTAGAGCAAACATTTTTCTACAAAATGATGTACGGGACAACTCTTCATTCATTTTTTTTACCATAATCAATTCTTGTCAAAGAGTTCTAAACCGGTATCATTACCAATCGTCGGACGTTTAGCAAACATTTTTTATCTGCGTACTGATTCAAGATGGAAAGTGTCGCTATACCTTATTCTGTAGAGAGATGAGTGCTCTACAAAACTAAGTCATCAAAAACGTTTTAAAAGATTATTCTTTAGTATGAAAACTTTCACAGAATCGCAACCGGTAAATACCGATGCATGACTCATTTACACTTCTCAGTAGGACTACTTATAACTTTTGATATACAACATGAATTTCTTTCAAAATTTAGCATTATACGATCCAAAGTTATGATAAGAGATTAAAAAAATGTCCTCTTTTTTATTTAGACCAGTTAAGAGAACGTGTTCCTTCGAATTTTAATCCAATTTGTAGTTTGCTATAAAGCGCTAAATAATATGCGCAGAAAAAGTGGATTCATAGTTAATCAGTTATGGTGCATCCAATGGGTATATTTTCACAGGACCTCTAGAGGGCTTCATGGGTCACTGAAGGATCTCCAGAAAACCATTCAGGATTTATTGGAATATGAAGCTGTAACAAAATATTCAATTTCCTATCAATGCTCGCTTTCGAGCATCAAATCTCAATGTTGTCGAAAAGGTTCTTTTAGAGATGTAGGAGTTTTGGACGTATAGATTTGCCACTGGATCCGCCATAGTTGGTTTTCTATGAAAATCAGATTTATCCCAATATTTTCATCCCGCTATTTCTAAAAAAGTTCTTCGTAGATTTCATAAAGATTCTCTGACGACGTCGAGTATGGGTTCATTAGATACACGCTAATCAATTATATATGAATTCACGTTATTTGCGAACAATATTCCAAGTTTAGAACCAGTAAAAAAATTAGTAAATTTGATTTAATGAATCTGATGAATTCATTTTATTTTATTATTTTCTCTACTAATAGAAAAAGATTTTTTTATAAGACTTTTAAATTTTTCAAAAAAATTTTAAATAAATTTTTAAAAATTATATATTTTAATATAAGTAAGCACACTACTAGTTATTTGTACCAAATTGCAGAAAAATTTGCTTTTGTTTTGTGTAAAATTTTTATATTATTTAAAAGTTGTCGAATTTTGTATTAACCCCATTGAGAAGTGTAAACGGGTTCAGACAATATAGCAAGAAACGAAAAATCAAAACAAACCATGAGTACTACTACTTAGTCAAAAATGAAACATCTCTACGTTGCTTTTTTATCTACGCCATATCAGAATATAGCACTGAAGTCTAATAGTTCAAAAAACAAGATAAGATATGATAAAATTGTAGTTCTATCCTGAATTTGAGTTTTCTTAGCCACTTTGGAAAAGAAGAAAACATGATGAAAACTAATTATAGTTTTATCCGTCTTATCAAACACCTGAAACGGCTCATTCTTAATTGAGATCACTTTTATTTCTTTAATTATAAAAGTGATCTCAATTAAGAAGCCTCGCCTGAAACTTATAAGAGAAAGCAAAGGACAAAACACAAAGAGCATCCATCGGGAGAGTTAAAAGGTATCGACTTTAATTTATTACCTTTCGTTGAAAAACAACAACAGCACGATATTGACAAAGAAAAGATCGTCTCCGTCTACAAAAATTGTCTGTAAAAATGTTATCTGCCGTATTTAAAACATCTAGACGTTCATATGTCGGCACCAGAGATCAGCATGGGCCGGGCTTGGGCCGCAAAGTATTTTGATCGGGTCAGGTGGAACTCAGAATTTCTAAGCATGCGTGGATTTGTAATTTATGTGTATACTCAGTGCCGAGAAAGAGGGTTATCACTATTAGGCGACATCTTAATGACTTCGTTTAGCTAATGCCTTTAAAGATTGAAAAAATGAAAACCAGAAAATCAAAAAGATATAAATATTAGCTTGAGAAATACGTTTACACCACTTAGTCAGCAAAAGCATTACAGATGCAAGAAAAAAATCATGCCTGGGACCAGAAAATTTTAAAAAGTGGTTGGACCAGGTCGGACCACAAAAGTTTCAGGATTGGTCAGGCCGGGCCAGATAAATTCTACGTTTGGTTGGGTCGAACCGAGCTTAATCCGGAAACCTTCATCATCGGGCCGAGTCAGACCAAAAATTTTCGACCTGTGCGAATCTCTGATCGACACTGCTTTCAGTTCAATCGCCGAATGGATCGATAGACTCAGTGAGGTAGTGAATACCCTAAAGGATTCGGGTCCATGACTCTTGAAGATCCGGTTTCCTGAAAAACTGGTTTTTAAGAAACTCTAAAAAATAACCAAAATCATTTCTTAATGAG